GGGTTTGAACCCACCACTTCCGGCATATGGGGCCAGCACCTTACTCCTTTGAGCCACAGCGCTGCCCAAGTGTGGCACTCTTTAACTTAACATCAGATCCCACAAATTAAGGGCTCAATTTCATAAAAATGCCCCCACTTCAGCTGCCAATTATAAGCCTGGCCTCCTGTGCTTCTGATGGACTGACTATGAATTCCTACAACCCTCTCCTCAGGTTTTTTTTTTCTTTTTTTGAGACAGAGTTGCACTTTGTCACCCTCAGTAGAGTGCTATGGCATCATAGCTCACAGCAGCCTCAAACTCTTGGACTCAAGTGATTTTCTTGCCTTAAGCTTCCCGAGTAGCTAGGACTACAGGTGCCTACCACAATGCAAAATGCCTGGCTATTTTTAGAGATGAGGTCTTGCTCTGGCTCAGGCTGGTCTTGAACTTGAGAGCTCAGGCAGTCTACCTGCCTCACCCTCCCAGAGTGCTAGGTTTACAGGTGTGAGCCATTGCATCCTGCCTACTGTTTTCCTCTACTGATTTATTACAAAGGGAACAACCTAGGAATAGTCATGGGAGAGATGCATAAGGGGAGATATCAGGGAGGGACCAACAGTGTGCAGAGCTTTCATGCCCATTCTGGGCATTCTACCTTAGTGTGTTGACCAGCCTGGAAGTTCATCATATTTCATTGTCCTAGAGCTTAGTCTCTAGCTTTGGCTCCCCCAGCTACTCCCAGGTTGATGTGCAGGGCTGTAAGTTCCAACCTTCTGTCATTTGATCTTTTTGGTAACTGGTCTAATTCTCAGATTAGCATAAACTCTGGTGTGACCAAAAGGGGTTCACTCAGGAAATTTCATTACCCCACCTTATTAGCATAAAGTCTGGGACTACAGGTACCACCACAACTCTGATGTAGTTTTTTTTATTTTTAGTAGAAATGGTGTCTCTTGTTCAGGCTGGTCTTAAACTCCCAAGTATAGGTGAACCACTTGCCTTGGCCCCCTGGAGTGCTAGCTGGCCCATATTAGAATGAGACCAGGAGTTAGAGACTAGCCTGGGCAACAAAGTGAGACCTCATCTCTCTGAAAAATAAAAAAAAAAAATTAGTGAGGCTTGGCACCCATACCTTAGTAGTTAGGGTGCTGGCCACCTACACTGGGGCTGGCGGGTTCAAACCTGGTCTTGGCCTGTTAAACAACAATGACAACAACAACAAAAATAGCTGGGTGTTGTGGCGGGCGCCTGTAGTCCCAGCTACTTGGAGGCTGAGGTAAGAGAATTGCTTATGCCCAAGAATTTGAGGTTGTTGTGAGCTGTGATGCCATTGCACTATACTGAGGGCAACATAGTGAGACTCTGTCTCAAAAAGAAAAAAAAAAAATTCGCCAGATGTGGTGGTAGTAAATGCCTGTAATCTCAGCTACTTGGGAATCAGAGGTAAGATGATCACTTTAGCCCAGGAGTTGAGGTTGGAGTGAACTATGATTACATGCCATTGTACTCCAACTTGGGCAACAAAGTGAGACTCTGTCTCAAAAAAAAAAAAAAAATTGCATTGGGTTTGGGGATTTTTAGGAAGAGTACCAAGGAAGTGAAGTGCTCTGGTTGTCACATCGTGTCAAGGGAACATGATACCCCATGACATCACTGATAATGTTTAGTTAACCATCATCACTTGGTTGAAGTGGTATTTACTAGGTTTTTCCTTTGTTGTTTTTTTGGTTTTTTTGTTTTATTTTGTTGCTTATTTTTTATTTCTTTCCTTTTTTTTAAAATTTTTTTTTGTTGAGACAGAGTCCCACTCTATGCCTCTGAGCAGAGTGCAGTGGCTTGGTAGCTCACTGCAACCTCAGACTCTGGCTTGTGGGCATCCCGCTGCCTCAGCCTCTGGAAGCCGCTGGGATTACAGGCACCTGCCGTCTGGGTTTTTCCATTTTTTTTCATGAGTTGGGGTTTCACTCTCGCTCAGGCAAGTCTTGAACTCCTGAGCTCAAGCAATTCTCCCTTCTCAGCCTACCCCAGTGCTGGGATTACAGGCGTGAGTCACCATGCCTGGCACCTTTGTTGTTTTTAAGAGACAGGGTCTGTCTAGTAGGCAGGCTGGAGTGCTGTGGGTATACATAAGCATGATTATAGTGCATTACAGTTATCTGGCTTCCTTCCTTTTAATTTTTTACTGATACATGTTACTAAACAAACTTGCATCTGCTTGTCCAGTACAGCAAAGCCAAACGCTGACAAGGGGATTTTTAGTGAGAAAGAAAGGCATTTATTGAACAGGGAGAGCTGAATGGGAACCTAATACATAAGACCTGAACTGCCCAGTAGTTTACAAGTGAGAATTTTTAAAGGCAGGGGTACATTTCAGGAAACCAGAAGTTATAGGCAAAACCATTAATCAATATGTGGAAGTGATTACAATGGTTTAGTACAAAAAGTAGGGCTATCTTGGTGTGGGGGCTACTTATAGGTCATAGGGAAGATTCAGAGTTTTTTTTTTGATTTGCAGTTGTTCAAGGAAGTAAGACTTTGTTTAAAAACTGTAAGTCCAATACAAAGGAATGTTAAAGTTTGGCCTATGGATAGGAGTTTGTCCAGGCCCCTCAGGAAAAGAAATTTAGAAGAAAGAATGGCAATTAGAATTTAGTCCTGGGTTTTTCAATTCTCCCTTATCTGAGTTGTACGTGGTAGAAGTGGGCATTTTCCATCTAATTGAGGGGAGGGAAGTGAGTACAGGTTTCAGAAAAGCAACTAAAGAACAATACATTAAGATGTTATCTTTAGTTTCTGTAGGAACCAGAACACCTTGTGACTCTGACTTGACTGGGACACTATTGTTTAAGTAATTACTCTCTTGCTTATTGGGTCATTCATTGACTTCTCAGGTGCCTGCTGTTTCCCCTTGATGGGATTCTAGATTTTTTCCCTTTATTTCCATGCTTGAGGAGAGGGATGGTTGCAGGTCCCTAAGAAGGGTCATTACTTTATCTCAATAGGAATTGTATATGTTGATGGGGCATATGTGATACTTTGCTATATGCATGTAATATATAATGATCAAATTAAGGTAATTTGTGTATCTTCTCAAACATTTAACATTTTCTTTTTGTGTGTGCGTGTGTGCTAGGAACATTCCAAATTCTTCCTAGATATTTCTTTCTTTTCTTTTCTTTTTTTTTTTTTTAGAGACATAGGGTCTTACTTTAGAGTGCTGTAGTGTCATAGCTCACAGCAACCTCTAGCTCTTGGGCTCAGGTTGGGCTCAGGTTGCCTCTCTTGCCTCAGCCTCCTGAGACTGGGACTACAGGTGCCTGCCACAATGCCTGGCTATTTTTTGTTGTAGTTTGGCTAGGTGTGGGTTTGAACTTGCCACCCTCTATATATGGTGCTGAGCTACAGGTTGCCGCCCCTCCACCCCCTTTTGAGACAGTCTCACTATGTAACCCTCTGTAGAGTGCTGTGGTATCTTCGTTGGCCATTGGGAGATCTCCTTTAGATTGATTCCTGTGTCCCTTTGACATGCCTCCATCCATTTGTTTTTTGACTTGTTTATATTCTGACCTAACAATAAGCTCTGAACCTGTATATTTCGTGCCTTAGCTCTAAGATCAACCATTTCTCTAAAGA